GGAACAAAACCGAAAGTTAAGAAATCAGTCCAGGTATTACGTAGTACAGGAAGGAGTGTTGTATCGAAAGAATCGCCGAGAGCCCGATCGACCTTTGAGGGTATTGCAGCATGAAGAAGTAGGGATGTTGCTGAGAGCTTTACATGATGATTCGACGTCTGGCCACTTAGGAGAGGGAGCAACTATAGAAAAGGCGCCGAACTATAGATATTAGTATATCTTTTTTAGCACAATATCACGAAGGCAGTACCACTGGGATCAAATGATAGGGGATATCAAGAGTTATATACAGAGCTGTGATGTATGTCAACGTCATGGGAAACCAAAGACCCAAGAAGCATTACACCCAATACAGGTAACACAACCATTTGACTGAGTGGGGATGGATATAGTAGGGTCTTTGCCTCTCATGAGAAATGGCAATAGGTACCTGGTTGTAGCAATAGAGTATTTGACGAAATGGCCTGAGGTTCAAGTGTTACCTGACTGCACAGCAAAGTCTGTTGCCACCTTTGTAATGGAAGAAATAGTTAGCCAACACGGCTGTCCTCGACAGATTTTAACAGATCAGGGAACCCATTTTAAAAACCAGGTTATAAAGGAGGCCTGTAACAGGGCTGATATTAAGCACAAATTCTCATCTACATATCACCCCCAGACCAACAGTCTTGTTGAATAGTTCAATCGAACCATCTGTGAGGCGTTAGCAAAGTGCGTAAGTCAGTACCAAGGGGACTAGGATGAATATGTGAGTTTCACTCTATTTGCTTGCAGGATGGCCAAGCATGGTACAACCAAATATGACCCCTTTTACCTGATGTATGGAAGAGAGGCTGTGTTAGCTGTAGAATTACTGCTGGAAACTTACCCCATGGATCCTATAGATGATGACTACTACGAGTCCATGGTTTTAGCCTGAACCTTAAAATTAGTGGACGAACTGTTCAAAGTGCGGATCAAGGCACGTGAGAACATTCGCAAGGCCCAACAAAAGCAGAAGTGGAGTTACAACTGACAATACCTCTTACAAAGTTTCGGGATCAGAGATAAGGTGTTAAGGTACCGGGCCAAGCTAGGAAAACAATTAGGCAGCAAATTAGAGGAAAAGTGTCGTGACCATACTGGGTGCATGATGTAATAGGTAATGGTACATATCAATTACGTATGATGGGAAATGACGAAAAGGTAATAAAAAGGGCAGTGCATGGTAGTCAATTAAAATGCTATAAAGCGCGAAATGATGACAGAATGAGGTAATGGAAAAATTATAAAAAAAAAAAAAAAAAAAAAAAGGGGGAAAATGGAACGACGTTTCGAAACTTTAAGAAAAATGATCCAACAACTTGTGGACCAGATGGAAACTGATGAAGAGCTGGAGGTTAAGGAGGGGGAAGTGATCTTTCGATACCAGGACCAAGAGATTTACGAAGGGTTTGGACAAACGGAAAGAAGGACCAAGGCCTAGCAAATCCACGACCATTTGGCTCTGTATCTTTAAGACTTGGACCACCCCATGGAGACTGAACTTGCAATGCCTATCAAAGCCGCTGGAGAAACCTGGAGTGAAAAACTAAGTAACGTGTATAGCGACATCGAAGACCTGAACCCAAGGATCCTATCGACAGCTGAGGTATTGGAGACCTATTATAAAGTAGGAAGCTTGCTGTTTGAAAAGGGTTGGGATGACAAAGCACAAAGGAAGCTAGTCGAGTGACTCCTGGCCCCCAAAGTGGGCTTAGTATGGAAAATTGCAAAGCGAGTATATATGTTGTTTGCCGTGCAGGGTGAATGATATATGTGTCAAGTTCAACATATATCGATTTCGGTGCTAGAACGAATGTTGGAGGGAGATTTCTCTGGAGCGATGTTGGCGAAAGCAGGAAGGTTGAGAGAGGAGGAAATTCGGAGAATGGTGATGAGTTCGCGGGAGCTCACTCTTTGAGCTGAGGAAGATGTTACGAAAAACTTTGTACCTTTTTATTTTTTTTTCTTTTTCTTCTGCTGTCTGTTTTTAGTATAGCATAGTAATAGGGTTCGAAACCCTCATAAACAATCTGCATAAATAAGTTAGCATAGCATAGTATTAGGGTTCAAATAGTATTAGAGTTTGAAACCCCAGAATAAGATACAAAACCCTGCATTGCATATTTTGTAGTTAGCATAATGTAGTAATAGGGTTCTAAACCCCAATATCAGGTTCGAGACCCTATCTAGGGTTCCTAACCCCAGGTATGGGTCCGAAACCGCAGCAGGAGGTTTGAGACCCAACCTCTAAAATTTGTATAAATAGAGCGTATGCCCACTAAATAAAGAATTCATTTCCGCTAAATTAATAAGTAGATAGTATAAATTAAAACTCTACCAGTGGCAAAGCGATAAGCGATATTCTTGCATAGTGTAGCCTGGCATTTGATCCCCTCTAACATCCACACTGTTTCTTAGAGACCGGCAACCCCTAGTATTTGGCACGTGACCTACGACGACCTACCAGTAGTCCAGTAATTAAGACCACCCCAGACCAGCCCCATCAATTAGTCCGTGCCTAAATTGAGGACATGTCTGTGCTTGTAGTGCTGTGCTAAAACCAGCAATATATATTTATGTGCCAGAACACCGTCATCTGGACTGGATTATGGATTTGGATCAAGGGTCTACTTATAATTAATCAAGAACAATTTCTGAGTGGTAGATTCAATTTGCCTTAGAATAGTTAGTTCAAAAGTACTCGTATGTGTTTTGGTCTCTTTTGACTCGTTTTGGCACCTCTTCCAGTTGTTTTGTTGTTTTGCCGACTGTTACACCAGTATTTCATACCAAACTATTGATTTATGTGCCCCAGACCCCACGCATTAACGTCGTAGCTGACCCTCAACTACTACATCCGCGTTATTATTAATGTTATGCTTATTATTAATTATTTATGTGCAGATATGTATATATTATTATTATTAATTAATAATTTTTTTTTTTTTTTTTTTTTTTTTTTTAAATTTTTTTTTTTTTTTTGTATTTATTTTTCACTCAGACTCCTCTACCCAGAATAACCCGTCGATGTTCCCTAATTGCCTCCCAGGTTGGTACTTTACCACGAAATTATAGCTTTAGAGGGTCATGATATATCTCGCCATCCTACCGGTAGGGTTAGCCATATTGTTGAGGTAGGTCAAAGCTGTATGATCGGTCACTATTGTAAATTGGGATCCGTGGAGGTATTAGTGAAACTTCTTCACAGCCCAAACAATAGCGGTATACTCTAATTCAGTTATTGTGTAATTCTGCTTAGCAGGCTTTGTTGATCACTGGCGTACTCCACAACACCTTCAAGCCCGTTATTGCCAGACTGAGATAAAACAGCACCAAGAGCAAGGTGTGATGCATCTGTATACAAAACAAATCTAACATCATCTCGAGGTTGAGTGAGGATGGGGCTGAAGTAAGCTTATTCTTCAACTTGTCGAACGCTTCTTGTTGCTGCTCATTCCAGGTGAAATTTTCTCCTGTTTTCAATAGTTTGTAGAGAAGCATGGCTATACCCGAGAAATCTCTAATGAAGCGACGATAGAAGCCAGCCAAATCTAGAAACCCTCTTAATGCACGAAGGTTCTTGGATCTGGAGAAGTTACTCACAGCAGCTACTTTTGTTGTAGTTGGGGTTATACCTTTGCCAGAAATTTCATGCCCCAGGAACTCTATTCAGTCTTGTTCAAAATAGCACTTGTCTGGGTTCAACTTTAGATTCGCCTGGAGCAGCTTACTAAGAATGATGTCCATGTGGCTTAAGTGTTTTTCGAAACTGGAGGAGTAGATGTTAACATCATCTATATAGGCCAGAATGAAATCTCACATCTCCTTTTGGAGTACGTGATCCATTAATCGCTAGAAAGTGGTGGGAGCATTTGTTAAGCTGAAAGGCATTACTACAAATTTGTTAACCTGAATTTGGTGGTAAAGGCCGTCTTTTCGCAATTACGTGGATGAACTCCGACCTGCCAGAATCCACTGGCAGGGTCCAGGGTTGTATACCAGGTCGAGTTCTTGAGAGCTCCCAATAACTCATTAATTCTAGGAAGGGGGTAGCTATCACATTTTGTTCGTTGATTCAGCTTTCTAAAGTCAACACACAGCCTCATCTTCCTGTTTTTCTTCTTGACCAATATGACGGGGGATGCCCATGGACTGCATGACAGACAAATTAACCCGGCTTCCTCCATTCTCTTTATTTCTTGGTCAATAAACTCATGCTCCACCTTGAACGTGGGGTAAAACCGTTGCTTTACAGGGGGGCCTTCCTCGGTATAAATTTTATGTTGCACAATGGATGTCCTACCTAGCTAGTCGTGTTTTTGAGTGAAGATGTCCTCATACTGACTTAATATCCCTTTCATTTGATCGTGCTGTTCAAGAGTCATATCTCCTAACTTGAAGTCATCTGTCTTCCTTTCCTCTATATGGGGTTTTGCCTTCCAGTCCACAACTTCATTCCACATGCACTCCGATTCATAGTGTTCCTTCCTTAAGCACAACCTGCACTGGGCATCGGTTTTCTTCTTAATGGGATAAAACCTGAAATACAAGTATGTTTGACTCACCAACCCTTCTTCTTCATCATACTTATCCTCGTCAACAACCTCCGATTCATCACTATCGCCATTGCTACTACTAACATCGTCCTCAGAACCTCCATCTTCCTCTTTGGCTTCCTTTTCTCCTTTTTTTTTCTTCTGAAGGAATTCGATCCTGAATGTAGGTTGGTTTACAATATTCCGTCGGAACTTTTATCTTCTTATTACCATCTCATATCATTAACTCACAAGACTCCCAATCTAAACATGCCCAGGCCTTCTTCATCCAATCATTTCCCACTATCATGGCGTAGTTTCTAGCATCAGTCACAACAGCTTGAGATGTTATAGTTTTTCCTCCTACAGTTACAGAGAATTCTTCAATTTCATCCAAAGGCCTCTTCTGTTCATTGTGTACTCCTACCATCATTACTGTTGATGGACGGTCGATGGTCATTCCAACATTCTTTAGAAATCCAGCAGAGACTACACATCCTGACGAACTACTGTCCAAAATCAAGATGATTGGTTGGCCATTTACCTGGGCATCACAATACATTGAAGTTGTGTAAGAGTCTTCTCTTTTGCTGAAACAAAATTCAGCAAGCTTTCCTTTTGTCACCCTCCCTGGCCATAACACCTTCAATGCCTCTTTCCGTATATTCGGTGCTGCTTAAAAGAGCTGAGCATAAGTGATGTCAGCCTTTTTGTTTTGCAAATCCATCATTATCAAATATGGCTGGATTTTTGCTATTACTGGAGGTTCCACTGGTTTCGTAACCTTCCTCTTCATGACCTTTTTACTATTCCCTAGCTTACTTTTCTGCTTACCCAATAGCTTACTTGCTTCGTTGTTTACATCACTACGACTATTCTCAGGTACGGGCTCTTCTTCTGCAGGTTCTTCATCAACACGTTTCCTTTTCGCCATGTATGCTTTCTCTATCTTTACAATGGAGGAATTTGTGAATGATCGTGCACTCTCACCCTCTAAAGATGCACTTCCAAGTTTAAATACTCGAAGTCACCTTGTATCTGTGCTATCATTGCTTGTGCTCTTGGGGCTTCCTCCACTATCCTATTGTCATTCGTTGGGGCATTATTCTGATGCTGACCCGGGTGATTATTACTATTTCCATTACTATTGATATGATTATTGGTCAGATACTCACGGGCATAGTGTCCTACTTGTTGACAAGCATAGCATACGGGTGGCCGGTTTATTCTATCAGGTCGGTTTCCATTCTGTGGAGAACGTAGCTGGTTATTGTTGTTGTTACTATTATTTCTTACAGCCGTGGCTACCTAATGTAATAGGGCCATAACTTGCTCTATGGAAACATTCGAAGCTTGTGCAGAAGCGACTGGTTGGTTCACAGAATACATTGGCTAGTGTGATGGTGATATGAGCATTTGGGTAGTCACATAAGCTAGTTGATGATACAATGCTGGCCCACATACAACTGTTCCTCTTATAAATGTCATTTCACAGGTTCGTGCTCTGTCAATAGCTTCTTGGAGTGTATTCGGCATAAAAGGTCCTACTACTAGTGACAGGTCTGTGTGAAGTTCCTGAACAAACATTTGTGCCTTGGTTATTTCAGGATACTGGTTTCTGACTCAGGTTACTCAATTGAACAACACCAGCATATCTGCAGTGTATTGATCCACCGTTTCTCTTACGCGTTGCCACCTCGTTAGTAATTCGGTGTTCCATTGGTTGATTAGAGCCGAGGTACAGAAGTTTCGTCTAAACTGGTGTACAAAACTCTGTCCCACCATTGTCTTGTTACTCCAGTATCGTATCTCTATTTCCTGGTTTCTTAAACTTTCCCACCATAGTGCAGCAAGATCAGACAGGTGTGCACTTGCTATTACGATTTGCCTGGCCTCTCGAATATTGTTGGCGCAAAATGCCCGTGTAATCGACTCAATTCATTCTATTGGGTCCTGGTTTCTTTTACTGAACATTGGATAATTAACTACGTTTCACTCACTAAACTCTGATTGAGTTTCTCAAGGCAGTTTCAGAGCATTCGCTATAACTTGCAATAGTTGCGTTGCTTGCTGATCAAAAGTTGGTTGCTGTTCATGATCTATGGGTGGGTTTGGATTATCTAACAAACTTTCATTGCTAGGTGGCTTGCTTCCTTCACAGATGTTTCCTCTATTTATCGACCTGAAATCATGGTCACTGTCCCCAGGAGTTATGTCATTAAGCACGTTCTTCCACATTTCCTATACTCTTTGTCCTATTATCACTGTTTTGCCCATACAGTGCTTATTTATGTTCTTTTTCCAATATTTCCACTACTCGTACGTACACAGTAATCGTCGATGATTAATTACATGGTCTTTCAGTGGTTGCCCACTCTGGTATTCGTCCACACAACTGGCACCAAATTGTTGTAGTTGGAGAGAGCCTTTTTTATATGTTGCCAGTTTTAGCACAGCACTACAAGCACAGACGTGTCCTCAATTTAGCCACGGACTAATTGACAGGGCTGGTTCGTGGTGGTCTCAATTACTGGACTACTGGTAGGTCATCATAGGTTACGTGCCAAATACTAGGGGTTGCCGGTCTCTAAGAAACAGTGTGGATGTTAGGGGAGTCAAATGCCAGGCTACACTATGCAAGAATATTGCTTATCGCTTTGCCACTAGTAGGGTTTTAATTTATACTATCTACTTATTAATTTAGCAGAAATGAATTCTTTATTTATTGGGCATACACCCTATTTATACAAATTTTAGAGGTTGGGTCTCAAACCTCCTGCTGGGGTTTCGGACCCGTACCTGGGGTTAGGAACTCTAGATTAGGGTCTTGAACCCGATATTGGGGTTTAGAACCCTATTACTACATTATGCTAACTACAAAATATGCAATGCAGGGTTTTGTACCTTATTTTCGGGTTTCGAACTCTAATACTATTTGAACCCTAATACTATGCTATGCTAACTTATTTATGCAGATCGTTTATGAGGGTTTCGAACCCTATTACTATGCTATACTAAAAACAGACAGCAGAAAAAAAAGAAAAAAAAATAAAAAGGTACAGAGTTTTTCGTAACAGCACCGACATTCAAGATTATTAGCACAGGCATTGATGTCTGATGAAACAACTTCATCATACAACTAGGTCCTTAATAATCTTATGATAGCGACAAATAATTCATCTCCATTAACTATTTTTTCTGACTGTGATACCGGATTAGAACCTGCAATTAAAACCACCCTTCCAACTACACGATATTTACATTGTGTTTTCCATATTGTTCAAAATATTAAAAAACAATTAATACGTTCTCTTGGCTCCCAATACCTTGAATTTTAGGCTGATTTTTTAGCCTGCCAAAATACATTATTTGAAGAAATTTTTGAAATATGATTTGAATCATTATGCACCAAATATACTGAAGCATCCTCATATTTGAAAAACAATCTATATCCTATTAAAGAATGATGGGCCAAATGTTTTACTTTTCAGGTAAAAATTATGAGGCAGTTAGAGGTTAGGGTTAGTTAGGTGTTAAGTTAGTGTTAGAAGTTAAGTTAGTGTTAGTTTGAGGTTAAGTTATTGTTAGTTTGAGGTTAAGTTAGAGTTAGTTTGAGGTTAAGTTAGGGTTAGCTAGATGTTAAGTTAGGGTTAGTTAAAGGTTTGGATTTATGATTTATTTTAATTTTTTTTTTACATTTTTGTTCTTAGGAGTTTAATGCTGGAATGTCATCGACTCAACAGGTAGAATTGATCAATGCGATAGTTCACAAATATGTAAATCACATTCAAATTTGAAAGAATTTTTTAATAGAATGCAGAATATGTTAGTCTCTGAACTTCAAAAGGCCAAATATTGAGATTATTTAGAAAGTTTACTTTATAGTGTTGGGTCTTCAGCATCAAGCTGAGTTTTTCCAAAGCTTGTAGAATATTTGAAGTCAGTTTTGATGAATGAAATATTTCAGATTCAAAAAGCTCAAATTGATATTTGCTTTGAATACAATTTATTACCAATTCTATTTGAACAGTTTTTTATACATGATAATGTAAGATTAATTTTTTATCTTTAAGATACGTATAAGTGTTATAATGCTCTAAGTCTTATTTTAGGTTGATGTTGTCAATATCGTTGCTTGTATTAAAGATCACTCAGATAGAAGACAAGTTGCTCTTAAATCTCTTATCAAGCATGTTGACCCTAATAATATAATTGGAATTTGGGAAGTCAAGCATATGGGGGCTGATACTATTTCGATGAACTGTATTGTATTGCTTAAGGATCAATCACATGTTTGTACATGCTTGCTCTTATTTAGTGAGGGACTTGTATGTCACCACTTCTTTCAGATCATGTTAAAAATACAGAAAGCGAAATTCACTATTGCTTTAATAAAAAGTAGATGGTATAAGAATGATGTTGATTCACTTAAAGTTAATACTTTATTTGATAATTGTAATGTATTAAGCTCTGAGGAATTTTTTATAATTGATGATAT